CTACTCATCGATGTATTTTCTGATCCCAAACAGCCTTTTATAGTTAATGAATCCATCTAATTGGCTCCACTATGTCGCCACCCGAGACATGACATTTGAATGCAAAACTTGACCAGTGAAATACCAATCCCAGGTAAGAAAGGTACGAGCTGCGGGTTGATCCGTAGTCGCCGATTAGAGTTCGAAACTAAACTGCGCTTAACATATGCACAGATCCTTTGATATGCGTATCATACTATTATTGAGGTGTCGCGTATGTAAGAATGGTAATTAGGACAGCGGGTCTCCAGCGGGGACATTTACCAGTCTAGACGGGTTACATCGTTGACTCTGAAGTTGTAGCGGGAGAGAAGATTTTTCTATTTTGTGTAGAAGAAAAAAGGGATGGGTTGCATGTGTTCAATGCAGAAAAAGAAGAACTGTAAAATGTGATATTTGATATTTGATAGGTGCTGAGAGTTTCTTGGAACACATTGACCTAGGACGAGAGAAGGTAGGGCGACTCGGTATAATATGAAGAAGAAGCAAAAAAAGATAAGATAGGAAGTCACAACGTCCGTTTGTTAATGAATCTTATTTCTGTAGATTGATAAGTTATTCATGCAAGCTAGGATACTTTTCTCTTTACTTCTCTCCTTTCTCCGCTCTTCTTTCCCCTTTTCTAAATTCACTTTGAACGGAAGATAATATCAGTTGGCTGAGAGAGGTCCACCGTGGTCTTATATAACAGAAAGTCATCGACCTGGAAACGCTTTGTAGGTACCCAAGTATTTGTTGCATTCCATCAAACAAATGCAACAACAAAACAAAACTCTACTAAGTACACTCAAGCTTCCACTATTGTCAATCATTTTTGGGGGTGGCTTAACATACCTCAACATTCACTGGTTTTGAAGTCACAATTTTTTGATCAGAATTCTCAGCTTCACTGTGCCTTGCAGCTGCATATGCAGAGATCTTCCTATACCCAGCAGATATTGATGTGAGGAAGATCCATCGTCCTGGATGGTAACAAACGAGAATACACTCAGTACAACCATAGTACACAAATGATCCAGGATCATATCACACGTTCACTTTTTGGGGTCGTCTGAAGTTGATATTTCATTTTTGACTTATCTACTCATCCCGTCTTTCTAATTTTACAGCTTCAATACGGCCTTCCTTACTTTGATATACAACGAATACGGCATTACCCCGTCGGTCCCAGTCAATCAGAAACGGTCAATCAAAGACAAAAGCCTATATAACAATCGCTTTTCAAGAAAAGCAAAACAGAAACACTGCAGCTGAAAATAGCATCACCACAAAAGTAACCATCTTCCAATTATGGAAGATGGCAGTCAAGGATCTCGAAGAAGTCGCATATCTTCAACTACCACTCGCATGCCACTTTACCATGATTCTGCGACTAATTGCTCAAGTAGCAATACGAGAATGAATATGGCGACGCCTACTATCTCGTCGCAGAGTACGAATAGTTCGGGTGCGCATTTGCCTTTAGGGTCTGGAAGAACGAGAGAGAGTGCGCAATCGGGTGGTGCGGCTTTCTTGCAAGAGAGGTTGAGGGAGAGGAAGGTTAGGGATAGAAGATTGAGTGGAGACTTTAGTGGGAGTGGTGTTATGGCTAGGGAAGTTCAGAGTTCGCCGATTCATAGGAGTAGTGGCGGTGGGAGTGGGGTTATGCGAGAGAGGGAAGAGAGGAGACCAAGTTCGAGTGGAGTGGGCCAGCCGGCGGGGAAGAAGGCGATGGGGGTTAAGCAAATGGAAGAGGTGAGGATTCTCTTATAATTAATCGGTATTGTGCTTTGGAGATATGAGTGCTAATTTTGTTGACTTCATTGCAGACAGTTTCAATCTTACATAAACAGAATTTTGATCTCAAACTGGAGCTTTTTCATCGACGACAGAGGCAAGAAATACTGGAATCGGAAGTGGATCAGTTGAGGAAGCAGACAAAACAGCAGGCAGAAGTGCAAGAAATCAATGATGCATTACTCAAGGAGCTGGAGAAACGAGACCAGGCAGTTGAACAAGCTGTTGGTCTCATTTGCGAACTGGAAGCCAAAGTTGAGAGGTTATTACAGGAGCGAGAAGACGTAAGAAATTACGAGATACAATACGGAAATGACTTCTACGATCACAACAGTGCGGATGAAATGCCAAGCTCGCCCCCGATCTTCGACAGAGACACGTCAAGTACGCCCAGAGCCCGGAATACTACGGTAGGAATTGCCAGGATGCCTTCTTTTTTGTCTGAGCAGAGTGAAGGGGTGGAAGCTCTGAGAAGTTTATATCTTCCTAGCAGTAATAGTTTTAGCGACATTGCTCTTCCAAAGTTGCCAGAGGAAGGTAGTGAAAGTGGACTGGCCAGTCCTTCGTTGAGTGTTTTGAGCGAGAGTTCATTCTTGAGTATCTACGGAGAGAAGTCACCGCTTGCGGTGCATGAAGATGATTACGACTCTCCGTCTTTAAAACAACACCGTCGAACGAGCTCCTCAGTGGAAAAGTGGATTGATGAACGTCCAGCTTCAACTATGCCTATGAGAGTGCCATCGCCTTCATCTCAGTCTGGTGGTCAAAGAAGTCGGTTCTTGTCAATGAACTATGTTGCTGCCTCTCCGTTACAACGTCTTGAAAAACTTAGGAGTAAGCTTGAGAAGCAATACAACAATAGTACAAGTATGCGACTTAAAATTCGATCTGACCAACGAGACAGTTTCCAGGGAAGGCAAAAATTCCGAGAAGACGATAGTCAGCTCACGACTGACGGGAGTGGTTATGAGCCAACCCAAAAGTTACCGCCCACACCAGATACTATTAGCACCGGCACTTTGAGAAGTCACAAGGAGTCTGACGAAACTCTGAATCAAAGACATCAGGTAAATGAAGATGAGGTAAGATTTATTCATAGTACATCAACATTCTCGGTACCGCCTGCTACTTACAATCCATACCAATCGACTACATCCATGCGACCACGTAGTGCTGGAGAAACCGTAACAAGTCGGCGCGAAGGCCATGGCTGGGATACAGAAACACTGGAGACAGATGACATAGATACTTTCACCAATTATAGTACGGATAGTGTGGCTGAAAGTTCCAAGATGCATCCTCCAACTCGCCAGCCTCGGGGAGGAAACCTAACGCCGGAATTCTTCTCATTCAACACCACTTCTCGCGAGCGCGATACTATGAGAGCTTGGGGTGGTGATGGAATATATAATGATCATCCCGCAACACGTGTTCCAACTGGTGCAAATTCACGTGCTCGTGACTCAAATAACACAGCGCAACGTTACGAAATGCTACGAACGGTATCACAAGCTGAGTCTCATCCTCGGAGCGATGATACTGTTACAACCGGTCATTCGGATCGCAGGTCACAATCTAGAATTGAGGAGCATCGAGAGAGACGTGCTAGAGAGCTAGAAAGATCTTCTACGCCTTTAGATGAAAAGACAACGAAACCACCTGCTCCGGATCGAAGATCTTCACTCGCAGCTGCTACATCCAAGTTGAGGAAGCATGCCCCATCCTCTACTAACTCGAGTCATGATTCTAACACCAAGATGCCACTTGCTCCTGTGTCTATGAGTATCCCAAATACGCCTTCTAAAGAATCTCCCAAGGAGAAAGAAGGAGGCAAAGAAAAGGATTTCAGGCGACTACTTCCTACCAGACTCTTTTTTGGAAGATCTGATACTGCGCCGGTTGTTAATACTTCACAATCAACTTCAAGATCGAGTTCTAGTTCCAACTCTAATCTAGACCACAGGACCAAGTATCAGACTATGCCTGCTGGGAGACATGGAACCAGATATAGTAGTCGGTCGGCATTGGGTGATTATCAACTTGATGGTAGTGAGGAGAGTGGTAACAGGGCTGGGGAAAGCACGTATAACGAAGAAGATGAAGTTGAGCTTGAGAAAGGGAGAAGTTCTACTCCGCCACCTATTTCTAGAAATAGAACTCATTCAACGCCAGTTCAACGAGAACTGGTGGACAGGCCGAGGAGCGCATGCGCGGTTGTGAGGGAAAGGGGATTCGGAGAAGATGGTGCGAATGATGGGGATGAATTATCGAGAGAGGTCTTCTCTGGGGCGGGTGATGAGAGAAAGGGTGTTAAATCGGGTATCGGTAAAGAGAAACGTGAGAACTGCCACGAGAATATGGTCGAAGAGAGTAACAAGGAAAATGACGCAACCAAAGACAAAGACAACAGTAGTGGCGCTGCAACAGGCCATGGAAGAAAATGGTTTGGTCTTTCGCACAAGCCTGTTCTCGGAAGATCGGCAAGCGTTTCAAAGGGACGTTAATTCCTTGATTATTTTTCGGTTCGAGTTAGGGGGTTATACATTCTTTACAGTCTTTGTTTTCTCTTTTCTTTCCGCAGTTGGGACTAGGATGGATTTTCGGGCGCATAATGATTTTTACAATAGGACATTTGCGGATTCCGGAGAAATTAAAGGCGTGTAGTGGAATACACATGGCGCGCTTTTGTATACCATACATACCCTTTTCATGAATACTGGATGGATGAAGCTTTGGGAAAGGAGAGCTTTTACCGATAATAACAGCGAGGACAATGATAATTGTTATCGAGGAACTGGGCAAAAGTGCTTTGGGATTGTGTTGGTGATTTATGTGATTTGTTTGATGATGCTAGGTAAGTTTGGTGATGGTTTATACTTACGTGTTTGTTTTAACGTGGTGAAGTGACTTGATAAATACTAGCTACCTCGACGTTGATGAATGGTTGGTGTTTTGTTTTATGTATGTTTCTCATTACTGACGACATGAGTTATTGGGTAAGAACTAGATGACAAGAGTAAATCTAGATTCACTTTTACCGATTCTTGAACCTGACTTTCAGAATTTCTATTGATCATTCTCCATTTCCAATAATATATTCACCCCTCTATCCTTTTAGACCCTTTTATATCCTTCGATATCCACCCAAATATCCAAACCTATCTGCATCATCCCTCAATCCCCTTCTACATATTAGACCCAATCATCAGCGCCACCAAATCCGAATCTTTCGGCAATTCCGGATAATCCATTGGAACAATCCCATATCGTTTCTTGATTCCCCAATCGAAATGTAGACGGAGAGTTGGATTCATGCCTTGAACAAAAGCACCGATTAGTTTACCGTGCGCGCCTACTGCTATCCACTAGAAGATCGAGTGTTAGTGATTTGCTCGTAGAAGGATTTGAAAATCCGAAGAAAGATAGGAATAGGAGAAAAGAAAAAAGAATAAACATACATGACTCTCCGCCACCTCACCCTTCCTCACCGGATCCCCCACCGCCGACATAAAATTCACAAACCATTCCTCCCTCGCTCCCTCTCTCGCCTTCTCCAACATGCGCACCACGTATTCGTATTTACTCTGCACCAATCCCTTCAGCGGAATCAGATCCGAATATTCCCATTTATCCTGCAGATGAATCGTCACGCCGCTTTCTGTTCGCAGCGTGAAATCCGGATTGTTATCTATCCAGCCACTGAGATCTAACCCCATTTTTCCTTCTGCGGGAATATTGGGCGCGCATGCGTAGCGTCGGAGTAATACTGCTTTTCCGCGCGCGTCACCTAGGGTTTGGGGTTTGTTTGTTGTGAGCCAGCGAGGGCTTCCGGAGGGATAGGATGGAATGGAGGTTATGTGTTTTGCGACTGCGGCGTAGAAGATCTCGGGGGGTAGTTTGTTTGAGGAATCGTCGTTTTTGATGGAGATGAGCACGGTTTCGCGACTGTGTTGCGAGAGGAAATCAAAGACTTCCTGCATGATGGTGTCGAATTTGAGATAGAAGGGGAGGTTGATGGGGATCCCGCCGTGGTACATGTAGAGTTGACCGTCTTCGGTGTGCACGCGCACCCGCAGATCGAGAAAGCGGATGCCGGCTGTGATTTGGGAGGGGATGGAGAGGTATTGCGTGCGCACGAAGGGGATGTTGGATTCTGCGCAGCCTTTGGGGGGAGGGGAAGGTTTGTTAGAATGGGTGATTGCTAAGCGATAATAGAAAGGGGAAAGATCTCACTATCGTGTGTTCCGGGAATGGTCATATCTGATAACAAAGTATCATCTGGGATTTCCGCCATCCAGGAGCTGAGGGAGTAATCCAGAAGAGATCGAGAATACCACAATAACTCCCTCCTCTCATCATTCGAATTGAATATACAATTGACCCTCCCATTCAGCACCGCCAATTGCGGAGGATCAAACGATGTCTGTCCCGCGATCGCTTCGTGCGGATGCCACATCCCATCTTTATACTCGCTCATATAAATCACATGCGAGGTATCTCCAGGGCCATTTTCCTGAAAAGCTAAAAACGCACTATCGCCATAAGAGGTAGCCGAAACACCTTGGGCTGCTTTTCCTTCACTCACATCATCACAGCTATTCCAGACATCTTCCGGTAACGAATATTTGAATCCGAGAATCATGCGATCTTCCTCCGCGGAGGAACAAAGCGCGTGTAAATCCCCATTCAACACAAATACCGCGGGAATCCCGGATACTTTACTAATCCCGCTTACTTCCTGGGGATACTTCCACACTGGCTGATCTTCACAACCTAGAGTCCATGTCGAATAATATAAATAGGAATTCTGGATATACACCAGCATCAAATTATTATGATGACTGATCAGCGCCGGTGTAGTATTTGTCCAGAGTCCTATTTGCTTATCTAGACGCGTAGGAGCCCCCCAGAATTTCTCCACATCGTCGTATTCATAATGAGCGAGTTCTCCATCTGTTCCAACGATAACGGCATGTAGACGACCGAGAAGCTCGGCCATGACAGGGATTCCTTGGTCGGGAAAACGGATTCGCGGCTGGAAGGCGTCGTTGTCGCCTGTGGCATAGTAGAGGTCGCCGGATGGGTCGCTCCAGAGACACCAGAGGGAGCCGCGGTGGGTGGCGAGAGCTGGGACCGCGGATGTGTGTCCGTTCGGGGTGTCTTGGACGAAACTGGATTGGCCTCTTGAGATCCAGGCCATGATGGTGGGATTTAGATGGATATTTGTTGGTGTAGGAATGTGTGTGATGATGTATTCAAATTTGTTCCCAATTGTTTCAAGATGATATCTATATAAAATTAGAAAACCGCTGTCAATAAGAAAAAGGGGATAGATATTAGGTACAAACCAGCGGTGTCAAAAAGAAATCCAATTTATATTACATAAATCCCCAATCATCCAGTATCCAACACAACAACTCCAATCAAGCAGAAGTACGTATAATTCGAGTAGAAAGAACCCTTAAGCGAGAAAAAAAAGAGTGAAGGCGTACAAAAGCTTGAATATCGAGGAGCGATGCCAAGCTTTTATATTCCATCTGCCGAAACGATTCGAGGACTCGTGTACGATTTTAGCGCTTGCATCGGCCCGCAAGACTGTTGCAACTGCGGAGGCTGGGCTCGGGAAAACTCCATTTTACAAGGTTGTAACTTGGGTGGGCTGGACGGTGAGATGAGAAGCTAAATTGTGGAAATCCACTTTGACATGCATGGATTGAATTGGGTACCACGTGACTATGGTACTTCGGTATTTTGTGCGAGATGTTGAATTAGCCTGGTGGGATAAGAGGAGCTTTATTGTGATGGGTTAGGAGAGGGTATCAGAATCATTGAGGAGAGAAGGAATAGGGTGGCTTGGTATTGGAGAGAAGCGGATTTGATTCATGAAGTTGAGCCGATGAATTCACAGCTGGAAAAGTAATGATCATGAAGTATACTTCTGCATACTTTCTCACTATCTATGCCCGTAACCTTCCAATGACTATCCTAGTTCTACTCGCATTCCTGAGTCCTTGATAAGCTTCATCCTCCCTTCTCTATCATAGTAATCTTGAAGTGGAAAATGTAGAAGCTACATAACACAAAGCCTCCTACTGAAGCTCTCCTCCTCAGCAACCATGCCAATCGATGCTTCTCGTTTCACACCCCTCTTCATTTCCAATCTAAACTCTTGCCATCTCCTCTACTCATTCTCCGTCATCTCATCATCTCTCACGGGTGAAACAATACTAACATCCAACTAGATTCGCTTCAAGTTAAAGACTGCAAAACTATTGCTTTACCTTTATAACATCGAGAGATCTGTGATGTGATTTATACCTATCAACAGTGCATAGAACTCCTTCAAATATATCGCTGTGTTCTTCTCACTGGATCTAAGGAGACGTGGGAAATCTGAAAGTGCTGACGATGAGACGAAACTCGTTGAAAGCTCCAGATTTCGCCAATCATATTATCATGTATCCACTAGAATATCTCATCACAATATTGTGATTCAATGCCTACCGAAACCAAGGGTATCTCCGCAGCCAGATTAAAATCACAATATCCATCATGAATCGTATACTAGACCCCCGCTAAAAAGAACAAGAAGAACATCTGGGGTATTCTAATATCAAATGGCATCGCTCAAAACTGGTCTCGCATTGTAGTTCACTATAACCAAGCCCAGCTTCCAGTAACTCTGCCCTCTGCTTCCAATGCCAACTTTTCGAAAACTGTTATGCTCAAGTCCAAATCCTCAGCTTTACATCCAACACATCTATCAACAACCGTTACGTCAACAGTACTGTTTCCGCTTCCCGAATCTTTCTGTCGAGTGATTCTGATCTTTTTCCCACAGAGAGGATTGGCATTGGGGTTGGAACTTGTTGAAGCGGCATCGAAGATGATGTGGGAGACGGCGCAGATGGATTCAGATGATGAGGATGTAATTCCACATGCGCCGAGACCTGGTGCATAGTATGTGAGATCTCCTGTGAATATGCCGCCATTTGATGGAAGAGGCAATGCTTTCGACCTTCGTCAATAGATTAGTACGTGATTGCGACCAATTGAATAAGAAAGTTAGAAGGAATAATGTGTTGTGCAAGAAGAGAGTTCATGCACAGAAAATCTCAGAACGATGAGCAATCGATATGTAATGAATTGCTAAATACACATACGATGAATGCTTCAAGCCAAGACCAAGACCCAGTCCCAGGATCAATGCAAGTAATAATATAATCGCTCCTACAATCAACAAAAGCATCTTGCGACTCCGTCCAAAGTATGTGCGATTCGCAGGCAATACATTATTGAATCGTTCAATTAATGTAGGTTTTCTAAAGGTTTCTGTCGCGAGAGCATCTCCCGATGAATCCGAAGATCCCTCTTTCGTGGTAGGAAGGGTTGATTCTGGTTTCGAAAAGATATTATATTTGCCGAGGAAGGATTGTTTGAGTGTTGGCGTCTCCCATTCCGGAGTCTCGTGAACCGTGGTTGCCATTGTGGATTATTATATCGATATTCGCAGAAAGACTAGATGCGCATTGTGATATTACTGGAATAGATGATATGTGCAAAGAGATAGACTTATTATTATTATGATGGAGTAGAAAGTGGGATGTATTGCGACCAATTGATTTCTTAAAGATTGGAGGTTAGAGAAGCAAAGGGTGGAGAAAGAGAAAGACTAATAAAAGTTTGGCACCTGCACCCTGTAAATTTGGGGAAAATACAGTGTACAGTAGGGCCAAGTTTTCCTTGGTTTCAGGGACTTTCGGATTATGATTGGCTGTCCGCAATCCAAATCTAGGCTTAAGTTTAGTAAATTTAGTAAATTTGGTAAATTTAGTAAATTGGGTCTATGCTCGAGATCTTACGTCCTTTTCTCTCTTCAACATCTCGGTACCTTACATATCTATCACCACCATTGGACAACGACCTTCAGACCATTGGAAATATTGACTGAGTGGTCAAAACCAAGCCACGTGGTGTTCTACTGCATATAAAGTATATATGAACAGAATTGATTCGTTGGTAATGGCTGTAGTGCTCCGCAGTATGCCATGTCACCTTGCAATGTTGTGTTTGCCTTATGGTCTGACATTTTGAATCTGAAATTTCAATATCACCTCTAATTTCTCATTCACATCATCATCATCATCATCATCACCATCATCATCATCACCATCATCATCATCATACAACAGTAATGTCTGACAACTTATCAACGATCTATGCGAAAGCTGTGGCAGACGCTCAAAGAGCAGTTCGATATGTACTTGAGAATGCTCCAGGAGCATATGAAAGAGGGAAAGATGCTGCCGTGATTGCTGCGGCCCAGGTTCAACCTGTTCTCAACTCTGCTATGGAAAAAACACCAGTTATCATGGAAAGATCCAGAATAGCGGCAGAGCAGATGTATCAGGATGCTCCCAAGCATCTAAACACCGCGAAGGGTGTGGCAGGACAATTATATCAGGACGCGCCGAGACACTTAAATACCGCAAAGAAAGCAGGTATGAATGTCCTGGAGAATCCTAGGCATTCTGCAACAACAGTGTTAGCCACCTTGGGGCCTATCGTTCGGAAGCACCCATATGCCAGCGTTTTTGGAGCCTGGGCAGCACTAGCTGTGGTATTCGGGCCCTTCTGGCCTATTCGTGCTCTATTGAAAGTATTTGGATTTAGTAAAGGTGTCACTCCTGGTAAGCAGAATTTGATCGGTTATATGCCGGCACAAGTACTGACAGAATTTTAGGATCAAATGCGGCATCTTGGCAATCTCGACAAGGAAACGTGCAACGCAATTCATGGTTTTCCTTATTTCAATCCTACGGAGATAGGTTGAATTAAGCTCAGGCCTCCAGTTTTCAAAAAAGAAATGCACGCTGATAAGAAGCTGCAGAGTCAACTGTGTGATCAAATGAAAAAGTTCAAATGTATCTGTCCTATGTTTCTCGTCGTTAACTCTCCCCCTTTTGAGAACTCATAGATACATTCAGTCTGTTCCTGACCGTCTGAATATTCTTTCTGCGTACATGTACTTTCTCTCTCTCGCTATTCTTCTCTTGATTTTTTGGCCAATTGTATGAGTGTGCAAGCGCCCTTGCCCATGAAAATTGTGTTTCCAGGTGCTTTGGACGTAATCTCTCATTTAGGACTGACTCCTTCGTGGATGATGTTATCTATGGTCTTAATTACCAAGCAACGTCTCAGAAGCGTTGAGATCCTCTCATAGTCTCTTGAACTCAAGCCCAATGTCTTTTCATACGTCCGCCTAGGCAGTTCAAACCTCAAACAGGATTTATGCACGAACAGTTGCGCCGGGTAGGTTATATCCATGTTCAGTGTTTGTACTAATACCAGAAGTTTCTGTATCTGGTAAGAAGTAGGCTAAGCGGCCTAGTGGAAGAAGAAGTCTCTAATCTTTTGTCTTAAAAACGTTGCATTGGGAGACGTGAATCCTTTCTGGAATCTCAGCGATTGTAGTTCATCAAGCTGTCATTTGATTTTGCTTGAACCCCAGTCTTTTTGGTGAACGTGTTTTGGCAATGATAAATTTCGCTTCCTTGACCAGCAACTAAGTTCCATTAAGATCATTTGATTAATTCATCTCTTTCAAATACATGCGAATTTCTGCGGGCGAGATACCGGCTGATTCCTTTCTCACCTTTCTTTTTCTTCCTTCATTCTTCTTTACTTTGACTCACTTCCGTAATCTTTTCTCTATCTTCGAGCTCGAGTATACATTCATATTGAAGTTTGCTGCAGGTGCTTGTTTTGATGTTTCGCCGGAAGAATAATATATCAAAACCCACTCGTTGTATGCTACAGGACAAGATCACGTTGTATTATGGCGGATGAAGGTGTGTATGCGGAGAATGTATCAATGTATGTGTGCAAGGAGTGTTGATCATACATAGTTTTGTTTATGATTTTAAGAAATATTTCAACGTTGAAAGAGCCAGCATCGTCAATTCTTAGGCTTTTTGATGCTTAAATGGGATTCTTCGAGAAATACAGATGAGAAATACAGGTGATAAATCAATTTGAAAGATGGTGTTGATATGAGTCGATCTTATTTCATCAACTTTGGGGATCAGAGGGCAACATAGACTCATGCAGAGGTAACGAAGCGGTATGTTTACTCGATCTACATGCGACTGCAATTATGCCCATTTTAATCTACTTCAAGACTCATGTAGCGATGATGTTTAATGATTTGACTCTAAATATTGCAAGGAATATTTGACTTGATGAATAGTTTCTTCTGTGGATGACACATACCATGATTGATGTGAGCTCCACTTACCCTTCTCTCTTCCCCCTCTTTTTCCATGTTCTTCTTTAATTTTGTATCAATACAATACGGTATCTAAAAAGGCAACGAATCAATACATTGACGTATCAACAAACAGCGTCACGGACAAACCGTTTTCGAAGACCTCTCGACAAAACAAACCTCGCGGCTATTCCTCCGCCAAATACCTCTTCCTCATCTGTCACCAATATGCCTCGGCAACCAGTCATCGCTCTCGATCCCTCGGGTCCAGAAAAGATAATGGATCTGGAAATAAAGGGTTTCGACCAGTGGTGGGCCAACGCATCAAACTCCCATCGACAAGAACACGACAACATGCAACAGGTGACCACTTGGAGTGAATGGAAGTGGGTAGTCCTTAATTCTCCTTTCCGTGAGTCTTTTTGGTACTGTTTTAGGAAGGGTCCAGACGGTGAGAAAGGAGCTCGTACTTTCTATCATGGCCCTCATAATCCACCTATGTGATTGATGGGATGTCAACAGGTGCTGCAGGAGAATCCACAGGGCTATGCTGCTGTTGTTCTACCTGAAGGTAACACGAGGCAGCAATATCAAGGGGACCAGCAGGATGTCGTCCACCTCCACCACCTTCTCAAACAAAAATTCACCATGATCCTCCTCAAAAACACCTGAGACGTTCGAAACGTCTGCAGGAATAGCAGTCGTCTGTAAAAGATGGTCAAAGTTCACAACATCCCGAGTAAGATAGCAATCGGAAAGGAAAACGCCAGCGAAGATTCTAGGCAAGCAAGTGCGAGATATCAGTGTGGAAGTAAGAAGGATAGAGTTGGTTGCGAATGAAGTTATGGTTGGCTGTGAATGGGAAGGGAAGAAAGAAGGAAGCGTGTTTTTAATCTACCGTAGATGCACTGTTATAACTTCATAGCAACAATGCATTGTGCAGTACTTAATTGTTGATACTGAAATTTTGTATGCGTACTGTTGTTATACCGTGGATCAAATCATGTTAAGTGACAGACAGAGTCGTATTGGAGAATAAGTTTATTCTCAAAATTTCGAGATTTAGGATTGATTCTCAGAGTTCCGTAGGCAATGTAGGCGTTGTATTGCCTTGAACCACGACAAAGATCCGTGTATGTCAATTTGATTTATCACGTGCATGTTGAGATTTCTTTGACTTTGTGAATGAGCGATCATCATCGAACTAGCAAACACTTGATTATTTTACTCTTTAATTTATTCTTCGAAGACCTGTTGTTGTCGGCTCAAATATTTCGATCTTCTTGTTAAAGATTGAGTCATTGATACGGTTAGTGGGTTGATCAGTGAAAAGGGAGAAGGAACGAGGAGATGCACAGGTTTTGCGGTCAAAAGAATGTAGCTACAAGCACGGGAAGAGAAAGTGAATGTGATCTACTAGGAACACCGATGAGATGATCAAATCCAAGTGATCTCTTACTTTTAGATGGAGGTGGTGGTTCGTTCTGTAAGAGAATGGAATGCCAAGAATGAATGATCCAAGTAACGAGGTAAGTTTTATGCTAGTCATACCTCTTTCGGATCACAAAGTTTCATTTCATGGGAAATCTCGGTCTAGTAACGAGGCTCATTATCAAAATAACTTACTCGCTGAGAGGTTTCATTCTGTCATTTCATTGTCAAATTAGCTTCAATGTCTAGCGGGTACATCTCTTCACTTCAGGTTGATTAATGTTATCCTTTCATATCTCGATGCAAAGTCCAATGCTTATTTACTTCGACACAAGTTTTCAGATGACTTATGGCTCTATCGATCGGCGCTCGCTCCACCCTTTCATCAAAATAATGATTTCTTTGTCTTACCATTATGATTATTTGCTTCCTTTGGTCCTTTCAATTCTTCGACAAAGTGCCGGAAACAGATGACTTGAAAGCATGGCTTTGTTCCTTCTCCTGCTCACATATCATGCTAGAATATTTCGTTCCATTCAACGAAGCTTTGAAAACTACTTCTTCTCAAACAACAACATCTCGAATCTTTTTGATATCAAAATACAGATGGCTGCCGTACCACCTGAAGGTAATGTGCCAGGTTCGGGAGCTGTAATTGTGGACGTGAATGTGGATGTGGACTTGGACACAGATAGCTCTGCCGAGGGGGGTTGGGAAGATGTAGGCATACATAATTTATTAGGACAATCAGACGCCATGGCAGTCAGGGTCTTGCGTAAGTATCAATCTTTCTATATATAAAAAAAACTCCTTCAATGTCATTCAATCCCCTTGTTTTGCAAAGATAAATAATACGAACGCTAATCAAATTTTATTGTTCGCAGGCGCATTTCGTGCGAACACAATTCGTCAAAATAAATGGCAGAAAGACAATCCACACAACTTGACAGGAGATAATATAGAAATCAACGCGTGCATTGCCAGTGGATCATATGGGCTTGTCTTCCGCGCCGTGAACAAAGATACCCGTACTGAGGATCAGCCCGGGATCGAATATGCTATCAAGATGTCCAAACTTCGATTAGATTCGGAGGCTAACCTCGACTACAATATGGGCTCAGATCGTAGTCCCGCTCTTACACGAACCAGTGAAGCTTCAGTTGTTGATCCGAATCTAATGAAAGCATTGAGCTTAAACTCCAAACGTGGAAGGGAGATCACGACATACCTTCAATATATCAAATCAGGGCACCCTAATGTCACGAACATGGCTGGTTGGGCTGAATTCGACATCTTGGGAAGCCCATTTTCTTTGATTATTCTGGAGCTTTGCGATCATGGCACTCTTTCCGACATGGTAACCGAATTTCGAGAGAGCGATGAATACATACCCGAAGGATTTATAGTAAGTTTGTCGCCATCCTATCTTTGTCGAGCCAAAATTTGACTAATCTCAACCCCCAGTGGCACACTTTCGAACAATTGTTTAATGGCCTTGCATTTCTCCATGGCGAGCATCCCCAGTATATAACGAAACCAGAATTTGCGGGACGTACAGAAACAACTGTCGCTCGTGATATTAAAGCAAACAATGTCTTCATCCAATCAGTTCCTGCAAATTCTCCCCCGAATACATATCCGACTATCAAATTGGGAGATTTTGGAGAGTCTCTGCATCTACCCCGACATGGTACTCGCGATTTCAATTACGGAAATAGTACTTGTGATCCACCAGACACCAAGATGAGTGCAAAATATGATGTGTGGTCCGTAGGGGCCATGATATATATGCTGGCTAGGAGGGGACATTACCCAAACAGAGGGTGCGACATGGTAGACTCGTCTGGAAGGGTTCTTAAGTTTCATCGCGCGGGACCAGAACAAAGAGAAATCATACTTGCTGCGCGAAATCAAGAATCGAGGTTTGAACCAATAAATGAGCATCTGACTTTACGCTTAGAAACCGAGATTAGATGGGCCATGACACTCAACCGAGAGGAGCGACCGACTGCTGTAGAGGTATATCTCCAGGTGCGGAAGCTTAACGAGGCAAGAAAGAAATTCATGTATAGGGAATTGCCAGATTGGGCTCCATTATTGAAGTTGCAGCGACGATACAGACCCCTTGAATTAGTAAAGATGGATTGGAAGGTCAATGACGCGGAGGAGAGAGACTTTCTATTTCAATATTCAGGAGGACTTACGGTGCGGAGGACAGAGAGAGAGAGGAACAGGGTGCGGAGAAGTATTGCTGAGTACCACGCGGTGGTTCAGAGAAAGAAAAATGAGAAACAACGCGAAGTTGACTTGAGAGCTGGCGTACGCAACCACGCTGAGCTAGATCGGGCAAGGAGAAGGGTGATTGAGCAAGAGGAAATCGGCAAGGTTACTAACGAGAGGAAGGAATATGGGGGTTGGTTGAGGTCTGGGTATAAGAGGAGAAGGCTAGAATATCGTAGAGGTAGAGCGCGTTGGGTTGATTGATGGTAGGAACATTTGAAAGAGGAGACGCGCAGATTGTATGTGTTAAAAAAAGCGAGCGGATGCAGTACGAGGGGGGTTACACGAGAACATTCATGGTGACGCAATTGTATTTATTTAGTCTAACTCTGTCAAATCTACGCGCAGGGATGTCATTATCAATACTTTTATGTTTTGTATTATGAGCAGAATACCAGCTACATCCTAGAATGTTCATGTTGATGAGATTGTTCCTTTATGAACATATTGGAAAATCTAATTAAGAATCCATTCTGCCGTACTATGCCTCTCTCGAGGAAAGATTAGAGGTTGTCTGAGATGCATCTTCTTGACAAGGCAAAGATAATGGTGGGGATTTCTCTTTCGAAGATTGGCTGAATAAGCTATGACCCAGTTCATTTTTAGGGCTCGGCTAGATTTAATTTATTTTCCTAGATAATCATCAGGTCTTTTCGATACATGTTTTTCAGTATTGATATTAATATAGGTAGATAACACTTTTAAATTAAAGCTCTTTCAGGATACCAAGAATTTGCCCTCCGAGTCAACAGTAGGGTAAGCCTCAGAGAAAGAGGCGCGTGGTACATGTGAACTTGACGCACCCAGTGACCGTTCTCAGCTGCTTTCTATTCTGAGACCTCGCTTGGCTAACTATATGTTTAATGCACATACATCCCTTCAGCTCTTCAATCTCCATATCATATCGACAACATTCCACATCAACCTCGAATATTGGCCATGGCTAATTCAAAGTAAGTGGATCTTTGGGCGCGTCACCTCTCAAATATCGATCTAGCTCACGAATCTCTCAGATATGAATATGTCAAAGCCTTTGAGCAACCTGATCTACTCATCCCAAATACGTGGATCGTAGTGCGTATTGATGGTCGGGGATTTCATAAGTATGTTTTACCTGTCCTGCTCCATACCATAGGCAACTCTACTGCTCGATCATGTACCGGAAACTGAAATCCATAGATTTTCAGACAAATATGCCTTTGAGAAACCGAATGATCGAAGAGCGCTAGATTTGATGAATGCGGCTGCGAAGGCTGTCATGATGGAATTGCCCGATATTGTGATTGCCTATGGGATTAGCGATGAGTATAGGTTTGTTTTTCATTTTCTATTTAGTTTATGATTGAGAGTTCTTGCTAATGAAGCGATTGTAGTTTTGTCTTCCATAAATCATGTGTGCTTTTTGAGAGACGCTCGAGGTATGACTCTTCACCCTCAACCCTTTGTTTGAGGAAGTTCTTGACTGAAAACAAAATGTTAATCAAAAAATATAGTAAGCTGGTCACGACAATAGTATCAACTTTCACAGCATACTATGTCCATTTCTGGTCTACTTATTTCCCGGACCCGGGAATGCAACTCACGGCACCGTTACCTAGTTTTGATGGCAGAGCTGTGCAATATCCTAGTGTGCAGAACTTGAGGGATTATATGAGTTGGAGACAAGTTGATTGTATGCGTCATTTCATATCTTACTTCCTGCCTCGGTTTTCCTTGGGTTGCTACTGATGAGTAAAGGTCACATCAACAATCTTTATAATACCACTTTTTGGACGTTGATCCAGAAAGGAGGATTCGATGCAAAAGATGCGGAGAAGGAACTTGCTGTAAGTTGTAGTCCTCGGATGAATAGTTTCCAAACTTAACGTCATGTGAATTTTAGGGATCTTTGGCTGCGGACAAAAATGAGATCTTGTTCTCGAGATTTGGAATCAATTATAACAATGAGCCTGAAATCTACAAAAAGGGGAGCGTGGTTTTCCGAGACGTAAGTCAGAGACCTGACCCTAATTTATTTTGACGAAAAATTGACATGATCATAGTATGAGTTAGTGGAACCGGGGGTGTCAGAAGCAACTGATGAAGATTCAGCAAAGACAATCGAGCAGAAGGAGCTCTCAAAGACACAAGAAGAAAAGGACAGGAAGAGAAGAGCAAAGGCAAGAATCACTGTGCAACATGTAGATGTCATCAAAGACGAATTTTGGCAGAGGAGACCATGGCTTTTATCCAACAAGCCTGGAAAGATACCCAAAGAGATATAGTTCGAGGTTTAGAACTCCACAAATCTAATTAAGATACCATACATTATCTAGAACGCCAGGGTCACTGTCGTGATCACAAAACTCCGTGCCCCAAAACGCCTTTTGCTATGCCGACTTGTAGAATGTACAGGGCAGAATAATCTATTTACTCTTCCGCGACTTCTTTTTGGCGCTTTCTGATGTTGATGATGTATCTGATGATTCCTTCCCAGATTGTCGTAATAGTTTCTTTTGTCGCTTTCGTTCCTTTCGTTCTCGTCTTTCCTCCTTGGTTTCTGTCTTTTCCGAGTCTGTCGAGCTGGCGCTTGGTGTTTTGTTTTCCTTTCCCTCCTTTATTTTTTTGGCTTCTTTGGCCGCAGATTTGCTCGCTCGTTCCGCTCTCTTTTTTTCCTTCCTTGTCCTCCTCTCTTCCTTACTTTCCTTTCTTTCTTCCCCCTTTCTCTTCTTATTCTTCCCCTTCCTACTTTTCTCTTCCTCGACAATTATATCCATAGCCTTCTTCTCCTTCTCTCTGTCCTCCATCGTCCCCCCAACCGTCTCTCCCCTCACGAAAAAGCTATACAACCCTCCCTTTCCCCCAACCCATTTACTTCCACCCTTAACCACCATCTCCAAACCCCCTCCCTCCTGAACCTTAACCTGCCCCTCCTTACTCGTATCTAATCCCTTCAGTGAAGCATCAAAAGCATTCAACCACCACATATCAGCCGTCTTGTGCATTTTCTTCCCCACTCCCAAGAGATTATCTTTTTTCGAAACGAGCAATGGTCGCGAGAGTCCAATGGTGTCGGAGCTGTGATGGAGAGAGTGACCGGTTCCGCGCCAACCCTGAGAGGTGAGAAGAGCGTGGGCGTTCATTTTGAGGTAGTGTGATGGTGAACGCGAAATTGAGGGAGTGGTGGGGTTGTTGGAGTGGGTGGTTGATGAAGAATGATGCTTTGAGACTTGTGATGAAGAGATATATTTTCTTATCGTAACTCAAAAAATTAATCTTAGCGTTAACCTTATCGCTTCAATTTCTACTGGGCGAAATAATTAAAGATGTAAAGTACAAATCAAAAACAATTATGACTTTAATAATTTTCAATAAAATAAGCTAGAGTTGATATATATAATTAATTGATAAAATAATTATTTTACGTTTAAGTTTCTAAAGATTTGAAAATTAAAATGATTGAAATATAAGTAATTGTAATTATTGAATTAATTTCAAAAAGTCCTTATTTTTTAATATCTTTTTAGTCTTAAATAATTTAATTAATTTAATACCTATAATACTAAAAGTCTAATGTATCATTAAATAAAAGCTCAACTTTGAAATAAATATATTTTTATAAAGATTTATTTATAATTAAAAAAGTTATTTATAACTTATTTAAAATAAAATATTAGATTTATTATTTTTAAAAGAATAAATTCACTTATTTTAAAAAATTAAAAAATTAAAATTCAAAAATTTAAATCTCTTTTTTAATTTCAATCTTAAATAATTTTCTGAAAATAAAGAATAATAAAAAATACTTTTTTTAAATTAATCTTTACTTGATTTTAAATAAGACCTAAAAGTTCAACATCATATAATAAAAAATTAATAAAAATATATAAAATCTAAAAAATAATATTAAATTATATTTATTTTCATCAACTTATAAATTTTAATATATTATTTCTCTTTCGTTTTTGATTTAAACTTTATAAAACTTTCTCTTTATATATACAATATATTAAAGGATTATTCGATTAGATTTTATAAAATTTAATTAAAAATTATAGAAATTACAACTAATTCTAATATATATTATGCATTTTCACCGAGTACTAGAATCCATGTTCGGGTGAAGTTGGTGTGGCTAGAATGTGGCGGGAAAGTGTGGCTGGCTTCCAATGTTGTGCCTTGATTTTTGTTCATTAAAGTCTTGGGTTCCATTTTCCTTCTCAAAAAGGTGATAATTTTTTCATTATCTCAAATACCGCAACCGTCACGTATTGATCATGCCGTTCCTCCCGTACGAGGAACCTGGAATTGCGGTCATTCTTTCATTGACCTCATTTGTCCTTCTATTAAACATCTCTCGATACATCCTAGACCGACTGTTGTACTGTGGCATCATAGGACAAATTCTCATAGGAATAATATGGGGTCTACCAGTCGGGGGAACAGCATGGCTGACAGAGGGGTATCAAGAAACGATTCAAGCATTGGGCTACCTAGGTCTGATAGGTCTCGTGTTTGAAGGAGGACTCAGTACAGACCTCAAACAGCTTCGAAAAGCTGCCTACGTTTCGATATCAGTAGCCACTGTTGGTCTATTAGTGCCTATTGCATTGTCTTTCCTGTTGCTCATCTTACCATTTCCCAGTAGTTCTGGGACAATGTATCCTACTCCTCTAGCAGCCTTCTCGGCTGGTGCATCACTATGTTCGACCTCTCTGGGAACGACATTCGCCATTCTCTCCTCTGCAAATATGCAGCATACGAGAATCGGTGTGATACTCGTAGGAGCCGCGATGATGGACGACGTTGTCGGCCTTGTTATGGTGAACATTGTTACAACCCTTGGGAGTGGAGGTATGGGTGGATGGCCAATTGCAAGACCCATCGTCGCGAGTTTTGGCCTACTTCTTGTTTCCCTTGGTCTTGGTGCTTATCTGCTCAAGCCGATTTGGCTCTACCTCGTCAAGTGTTCTCACTCCGAGACAGCGGTTAATGTTTCCGCGGGAGGCAGATTTGATATCAAGGAAATATCTCTTACACAATTTCGGAGGATTCCTAGCATAGAGTTTCTTCTTTCAACATTGATACTAATCATATTCGTCACTATTGCATCTTTCATCGATGCGTCTGTCCTTTTCGCCGCATTTATTGCTGGGGGCGTAATTAATTACCTTTGGGACGTTGGAAACCGTAGTATTGAAGAAGAGTCGAGATCAAACCCAGCTCAGGTGATGTACGAAGAGTATTATAAACCAATCATGGACTTCATATTGGTTCCATTTTTCTTTGTAAGCATTTCTGAATTATATCTCTCTTCCTTCCACCTACCAGTACTGGATACTCAAGACTCGGGACTGCTGGTAGACAACAGGAGATGCTTGCTTTTGGAACTGATCTTAATTTGTCTAGAATGGTGGATCCTTATTAGATGATGAATGAAATCCAAATGTTTATTCTATTCGGGACATTCAAATCGCCCGAAAATCTGGACCGACCCCTTCTCAAACGTCCACGTTTAGCCTACTAACCTAGACTTTGGCCAACCTGCTAGCAATGCTTGATTTTAAGGAACTGGGCTAACGTGATCTATCTAGGCGTCCATCGGTTTCTCAATTCCAATTACAGACATGTTCAAAGCCTCCATCGTGTGGAAAGGCATCGTGTACTCTATACTCATGGTAATTGCAAAATGCCTAGTGAGCCTTGTTATGTATTTCGAGTACTTCGCAAAATCCTGGAAGCCAAGAAAAACTCAATCGTCAGCAGCAGAGTCCACCCGTCCTCCACATTTAGAAGCCTTGCTAGTGGGATTCGCCATGGTTGCCAGAGGAGAAATCGGGTTCTTGATCTCGTCTCTCTCACAGAGCTCTGGTACACTTTTGTTGAAAAATCAACAAAATACTGCCATCGTTTCCGGAGAAGCAGTTTTTCTTGTCATCGTTTGGGCTGTGGTAATTTGCACTATAGTCGGCCCAGTTGTCGTCGGCATTCTTGTAAGGCGAATAAGGAATCAAGCATTGGATCTCGATTGAGTTCAGACCCTGATTGCATACGCTTCTAGGTTCATTCTCTGAGTGTCTTGGTTTAATATTTGTACAAAGTCAACAACGTTACCGGTGACAAACCGGAGATATAAAAAGTCAAAGTGTTACAAATGCTTGAAGCTAACCCTGTCTCGCTGGTAAGGCTGTGTTACGGAGGTACCCGCACCGCAACATGGATTATAAGATAAACCTAAGGCCTTGGTATTGGGACCTACGGAAACAGCGCTGTAGGGACAATCGGCTAGAAAGCACAGGTTAGATAAGCGGTAGCATCATTATAGATCACGGGATGGACATCACGTGATCAGGAAACCGACTTGTCGAAATCGGCTTTACGGTAATCGACTTGTCGATTCATGAGGTACGAAGATCTATATAAGGGAATGAGTTTCATTATAATGTAGAGCTTCGTGCTCAAGAACAATCATTAGTTTCATTACTATAGTTACGAGAATTGCAACCAGTTACAACCTTATTGAATTCCTACTTGAAGTCTAGTCTAAACCACCTCGAGAGATCTCTAGACACTTCCACGTGACCCTAGAGGCAGCTCCCGTAACAGGCTGTCGATTAGATGTGGCAATTTGAACCTTCGATCTGGAGTCACTGGAGGTATAGTAAAACTTGGTTATACCGGAACGAAAAATTCGATTAATCAAATCCGGTATATCCAAGATTTTGGTATAAAATATGGTGGCCTAAGCGTTTTGGTTAATATTTCAATCGGATTTTAGCTTCAAATCCTTATGCGATAATAGCCAATCAAGCTTATTTAGTTAAATTCATTATCAAAATTTATATCGGAATTGAAAAAAGTTATTCGATATTCTAGTTTTGCTTAAAAATCTGGTATTGCTATACAAAAAGTGGTCAAATGAGGGAATTTTTGCAGTATATCCAAGATTCCGGTATATCCCAGTCCGGTATAGCCAAGTTTTATTGTACCTACAGCTAGACATATGCCGGAACGCACATCAATTTACATTTACAGTCCTTGCATGGAATATTTTGGAAGCAAATCTGTAGGGGGTATCAAAGATCCGGGCAATGTTTGCCTCAACTCCGCGGTCTCACTATGAGTGTACACGAATACTTGGTCTCGAGAATAAATAAGTATACCCCTAATTATTCGATATTTTAGTAGATTTAAGAAAATGATTAATAAAAATATCTATAAAAATGGCTACTTTTATATTTTCATTTTATTAACTTTAACTAAATTTATATGGATTTTATAACTTCAATATCTATATTTAAAATATAATATTATTGTTTATATAATGATTGACTTTAGATATAGACACTATATTAATATGTTAGCTTTATAAAAGATAAAATTACTTTATAATTGAATCTTTCGATTTGTTAGATTAAATATATTTTATATTATTTATTTACATTTCAAAAGAAGCATTTTGATTGTTAATTATTTTTAAATCTTTCTAAATATTAATAATTAGTTGAATGGGTTTGTATATTTAAAAAGAATTGACAAACATTTTGATATAAAATTCTAGCTATTTTTGAATGGGATTGTTATGTTTATACTATTGAAATTATGTTTAAACTTAAAGGATTTAAGCATTATATAGTTTTAAAGAAACTAAATTTTATATCTCAATATACTATAGTATATTTAATTTAGACTTTAGAGCATATTAATTGGTTATTTGAAGATTGGGCATATATTATAAAATGATGAGTTGTAGATATAGTTAAGAAAATATAAGAAAATAAAGATTATAAGATATATAGGAGAAGTATTATATAAGGATTGTATTAAACTAAAATACTAGTGTAAAATCGAATAGATACTATAAGATTATATTTCTGAATTATATGGGAAAGGATCTTATGTATTCTGGAAGAAGAGTTGGGTGTTACGGGAGCTGCCTCTAGGGTCACGTGGAAGTGGCTAGAGATCTCTCGAGGTGGTTTAGACTAGACTTCAAGTAGGAATTCAATAAGGTTGTAACTGGTTGCAATTCTCGTAACTATAGTAATGAAACTAATGATTGTTCTTGAGCACGAAGCTCTACATTGTAATGAAACCCATTCCCTTATATAGACCTTCGTACTTTGATCGAATCGTCAAGTCTACTCGACTACTCGAGTCGACAAGTCGAATCGACTTTCCTTCACGTGACACTTGTCCTCGTGACCTGGTAAGGCTACCGCTTATTTAACCTGTGCTTACTAGCTAATCTGTAACCTTTGTGCAACCTGTGCCTACTGTGGGGTAGGTGCCAATAAAAGATAGGTACCTATCTTTTAATCACTGCTTATTTATTCGGTTACCGCTATCTTTAGTTACCCTTTAATTCAACTGTCCCTACAGTGCTGTTTTCGTAGGTCCCAACACCAAGGCCTTAGGTTTATCTCATAATCCATGTTGCGGTGCGGGTACCTCCGTAACACTATCCCCTTCCTAGACTAGCGCTTGTCCCAAGCGTCTATATAGCGGGGTCTCCCCACCTAACTATACATTTTAAATGAGTGTTATTCTTTCTTCATTATGCCTCCTACACGAACAACCTCTATTCATGATCCCGCTTTTTTATCTAATCGTGTCGCCCGTTCTGGTAGCAAACGTGAACCTTGTGCTTTGTGCCTTCAAACTGGTCGTGATTGTTTCGTGGACGAGGATCTGTCGAAACGTTGTTCCGCGTGTATTCGTTTCAAGAAAGGTCGTTGTCATCCTGGGCCCGCAATGCCCTCTCAATATGATGCTCTGGAGCGACAGCAAGAGCAACTTCGCCTGGAGGAGGAGAAGGCTTTTGCTGAGTCGCAAGTTCTGTCTGCTAAATCTCAAGAATTGACGGCTCGCATTCTTCGTTTACGTCGTCAACAGGAATTCCTTCGCAAGCGTGAAAAAGAAATGATTCGCCGCGATCTTCGTACGCTGGAGGAACTTGACCTGGCTGAGGAGAATGAAAGGTTGGAGAAAGAGAAAGTCGAAAATGAAAAACTGGAAAAGGAAAAGGCAGGCGCGCCTGTTCCTAGCGGTTCTTCTTCCTTCGACTTCTTCGACCCTTCGTTGCCTCCGTTGTCTGACGCTGAGCTCGAGGCTTTGTTGGCAGATGTGGGTACTTCAGGTGGAATGCCTGTAGTTTCTCAGGGCAGCTGAGATCCTTCTTAAGTTCCCATGTGTTTTCTGAGTGTGGGTAATCCAACCATTTGATCAAATACTTGACCTTGCTTCTGACATATTTGCAATCTAGTATTGTTTCAACGTCGTATATGGCTTCTGGGTTAACTGGTTCGATTTCCGTAAATGGCGCATTAGGCGCTCCTGGTGGTGCTGGTTCGAGCAAGGATATGTGGAATACTGGGTGAATATTCATCGTGTCTGGTAATTTCAATTGATAATTAACTGTTCCTATTACCTTATCAATCTTGAATGGTCCTAGTTTCCTGTGGTCGAGTTTATTGCTTGGTCTTTTGGTTTTGATGTTTCGTCGTAGCAAATAAACTTTATCCCCCTCTTTAAGCGTAGGTTCCATACTACGTTTCGTATTGTAGTAGGCTGCTGTTCTGGAAGAAATAAATCTTAGGTCAAGAGCGAGCTGCTCTTGCAAATCTTTCAATTGTTCGACTTGTATTATTGCCGATTCGGCATTAACTTCTTGTGGCATCGGTGTTTGGTATGCTTTAGGATTGAACCCAAAGTTAGCGCGTGCTGGTGTTATCTTTGTGGTTTCCGTTTCCGATGTGTTATATGCGAACTGTGCCATAGGTAATAGTTCTACCCAATTATTTTGTCGATAATTTACATAGCATCTAAGATATGCTTCCATTGTTTGATTGGTCCTCTCTGTTTGACCATCTGTCTGTGGGTGGAAGGCTGTTGATAGCTTTCTCTTAACACCCATAAGTGCTAATAAGGTAGCCCAGAATTTTGAGGTAAAGAGCTTGTCTCGGTCCGAGATTATCTCATCTGGTACTCCATGTATGCTTACTATGACCCTAAAGAATACATATGCTAGTTGCTCAGCAGTCCATGTTTCTTTGAATGGTATCATGTATGCAAATTTTGTCAATCTGTCTACTACGTTGAGTATTGCGTCGTACTCAACTCCTGTAGTAGGGTCTTTCGAGAGTGGTAGTTTGACCACAAAGTCCCATGTAATGGACTTCCATGGCTGAGAAGGCATGTCTGGGGTCTGGAGCTGACCATACGGAGCGTGTCGTGATGACTTGTTTCGTATGCAGGTGTCGCAACTTCCAACAACTTCTTCAACTATCGTTCTCATTCGTGGGAAGTAACTGATTTCCCGTAATCTTGCGAACGTTCTCGCAATTCCCTGATGTCCATGTGCCGGCAACCCGTGTTGTTCCGTCACAAATTCCTTAGTCATTCGACTAGGAATGTATACTTTTCCGTGGAAGTATATAGTTTCGTTTTCTATTGTGAATCCTGGTTCTATTGTCTTGCGTATGCGTATAGCTGTGGCATCTTGGTCGTAATATGATTGGATTTGGATCCTGAGATGGTTGTCTTCCAATGTATGCGTAGCTGCGAGCTGTGGTGCATTGTAAACCAGTGATTCGCCTTCTTTCTTGAATATAGCGTACGATTCGTACGACTTATTTTCTTGATATTCTGGTTTTCGGCTAAGAGCGTCGGCTCTAGCGTTTTCTGATCCTTTGACATATGAAATCTTAAAATTGTAATTGGCCATGGTCTCTGACCATCTGACCTGTCGTCTGTTTAACTGCTTCGTTGTGGTGAAGTAAACCAAGTTCTTGTGATCTGTATACACCTGTACTGTGTATTTTGACCCTTCCAAATAAACTCGCCATTCTCTAAATGCATCGACTATCGCCAGTAATTCTTTGTCATATATTTCGTAGTTCAATTCGGCTGGTGATAGCTTTCGAGAGTAGAATGCGATTGGTTGCTATTTCTCATTTTGACCTGGTTGGCTCAAAACTGCCCCTATAGCAAAATCCGAGGAGTCCGTCTCCACTATGATTTGTTTCTCAGG